AGATCTCTGAGATTGAGCAGTGTATCTGCTGCAATGTTCTTAGACTGATGTTGATGTTGAAGAACATTCGACATAGAGCCAGAATGTAACACTTCGCCATCTCATCAGCCTTCTTCCACCGAGCATACTCCTCTTTCTCCTGCTCAGGAGCATCAGCCGCCGACACTGCCAAACAAGCATCAGTGATAGCAAACTTATAACCCTCAGCAGTCAACACTATGTCTAAGTTCCTCTTTCAATCAATGTAATTAGGACCAGTAAGCTGATTTTCTTTTAGAATGACAGATAACGGATTGAACGACATGATGAATATCCTGTGAATCATGGAAATAATTTTACAGATTAAACACATTTCAATTTAATTGCTAATATTGATATCCTCAAAACAATATTAACTTAAATTCACTGACATCTCAAAACACCGTGAGTAATGCATGATACGAGGGTAACCCTACAAAACTCAACATTCGCCAGAGAAGGGCTTTTCAAGAACCCATTAATTTCCATAAGTCAAAACCAAATTCATGAAGAACGAAATTAATAGTCGGTCTCCATTTGCCAATGCAATAGAATTCAGGGACCCCGAGTGGGGTTAATAAATATAATCGCATTGTAAATGAATCTCATTTCTCGGTCCTAAGGTCGTCAAATTTGATTATACATCATCCAAAGGGAAGCCCGTACGCTCTCATAAGAGTTCCTATCACCGTCTAATTAGAAATTTGTCCTGATAATTACCTACAATTAATATTAGCAATGTCACCTGAGGGGGTGCTCATTACCGCAATTTAATTGATTTACCGACAAACTAGAAACGGAGGCCTTAGGAATTTTACAATTAACTTTAATTTAAAATCCCTTCTCAAACTTAGTATTATTTTATGAAGATTTTTAACTATTTATGCAATTCCAAATTAGTCTATGTTAATGCAATAATTAATCAACATGCATATAATTCATGCAATTCTAAATTAATATATGTCAATGCAATAATTAATTATCATGTACGATAATTTATGCAATTCTAAATTAATCTATGTCAGTGCAATAATTAATTATCATGCATAATTTATTGATACAATTAATATTCTAAATTAATCTTATACATTACATAATTAATTACCATGCATAATTATTCATGCAATACTAAATTAATCCCATGCAAGAACATAATTAATTAACATGCATAAATAATAATTAATGACATAATAAATTTAAATAAATAAATCCACTATTATGGCCAGTAAATATTGAGTTTCCTTAAACAAGAAAATTGTGATAGTTCTTTCCATGTTCAACTGGAACTCCTTTAGCAGTAGAATCCTGGTCGATATTGTACTACTTGTCCAACAAGTAAAAACCACCTCCACCATGAACAGCCGTTGGCCGACCAGCTGCCGCCGCCGCCACCGGTGGTCGAAAAAGCTGCCGAAATTTATTTTTTTTGATTCGCCGGCCAACAGCTTCCTCAGGCTCACATTCGGTTGGATTTTCGAGGTTCGTTGATCTCTTGTGATCTCCCGGCCATCAATCCACGATCACAACATGAAAAATATAATTTACAAAATTACATAATCCGATCCTAGATCCAACGAATGGATGTACATGTTTTCTAAACAAATAACTAAATTTATCTGGTCAACCTCCGGGCGAATAATTATTACAAACATTCATCCATCAATTCCTCAACATGTCCGAGGATTGAAAAACAAATTTAAAACCATAAATCACATTCAACAACATTCATCAAACACATAGTCGGCCATAATAGTGGATTAACTATTTTCCTGAAAAACCGAGTTATGCAAATATAATCCAATATATGGCTGTGTTTGACATCTTGTCAAATAAAGCCGTAAAAATTTGAACTTTTTACAAAACGAATTAACCAAGTGCTCTGATACCACCTGTTGGGATCTGTGAGGATCTTATTAAGCACAAATCACGAATTCAATAGCAAACGTAAACCTATGCGCAGTGGATCTAAAGGTTTGACAAAGAGAACTTATGGCCTAAATTTTTTGGCGATATGTCTGATCTTCCGGATGGCCGTACACAGCACACGAACAAATCAGATCACACAAACAGAACGTCTCGGGCTCGTGTGAATCGGGTCATGTGGGTGAGCTCGTGTCGTGGGTCTTGCCGGTTCGGTCGCGCGTCACATGGATCTCGCCGGTTCGATTGAGGTCGCCAGCGGCTCGTGATTTGCGGCGGTTGGTCGCGACTCCGACTGGTTCAGTGGTAGGCGTTCCTCGGGCTCAGGCTCATGGATCGTCGATTGCTGTAGAAGATAATCGGGTCTCGGTTACCTATGTATCTTCTACTGTATTACTCAATACACCCTTCTTCAACTTGTAACAGTGGAGCAACAAGAAGAAGATAAAGCTCGAATGAGAACTGAGAGAGAGAGTATGGGGGCGGCGGTTACACGTGAATTATGTGTAATTGTGTTCTCTTCTCATAAGCTTAATGATGTATATATAGAGCTACAGTAGGAACCCTTATAAGATTAGGAAAATGGCTCCATAATTAATTAGACTAACTGTGGGCCAAGCCCACTCCTCTAATTAATTAAATAATATTAATGGCCACCAACTTTATATTATTGCACACCCTTTTCCTAGCCTAAATTACATTTGATACTCCAATAATAATTACTCGATTTATCTCCCAACGTTTACGATATAATGTCCATTAATTAATTCGATTACTGACAATCAACAATTAATTAATTTATTATTATTTCACCGAAGCTAGCGCTCGTTCATCACATTCTTATTATGCTGGAACTTAATCCACCTGCAGGGTTTAGCATTACAATCCTTCATTAACTCACTCCAGGGACAACATCAAACTAACGCACATGGTGACCGTAAATATCCTAACAGCACATCATATATATAGTAATATTACTCAAAATAGTAGGAATATTAATCCAGCGAACTGAACTTCACCTAAGTGAATCAAAATAATATGTACTACATATATCTGCCTGTTTAATATCTTACGGGTTAAGAGTAATTAACTGAGGCCTAGTTCATTTACGACGATAAGTATAAAATGAACTTCTCCTCTCTGGGATCCTGTTCAATACATAAATGTAGTAGTGGAACTAATCAGTCAAGACAAACTGTACAGTTGACACTGCAACCGTTTGGATGGGGTGTTCATGTCCATCTAGGTTGTGAACAACTATTCTCGTTCACAAGTAACTAATAGAGTGATCTTAGGTTCGCCCAATGATGACCCACCCTATCTAAGTGTAGAACAACAGAACGTAGACCTTGTTTAATCTAACATAATTCTCATTCATAAAGGGCAAATGTGTAATAACATGCAAAGACAAGCTTTCAGTATATAACACTATTATGCGGTCGCGGAACAGTTCTATGGTCGAAAATTTGTGGCCTCGGGAGTAGTCGCGGCCGCAGAGCGTTTCTTTGCTGCGGCCCGCGGGGCTCGCGATTTTACAAATAAAATGGGACGGTTTCAGATGGCGAAAAAGGTGGAAAACTTTGAATCTTCTTTGGTTTTTAGGCTAGGGATGGAAATGATAGATTCATTTTCTAAACGTTTTCATTTTCTTTTCATCTGAAAACACCTTTCTTCTTCAATTTTCACTTAGACTCTCTTGGTTTTGCTTAGATTCAATTTTTGGAGATTGTGATACTCCAAAACGAACGTGATTCGACTTGTATTTTGATTTTATTTCTCAACTTGGATTATTCGTAAGTTCCTCTCATTTGATTATGGATGTGAATTATGGTTTTGAATCCAAAAAAAAAAAAAAANCCAAAAAAAAAAAAAAAAATGGTTCGCCGCTGCCCGCGACATATCCCGCGGCCGCGGAATGGTTCTGAGCCTCAAAACTCGCGGCCGCGGACCATTACATTGCTGCGACTCTCACAAGTCCCGCGGCAGTGCACAACTTCTGCTCCTCAAAACTCGCGGCCTTAGAGTAATATCACGGCCGCGGACCTTTACATCGCAGCGAGCCTCATGGATCCCGCGGCCACGGAGGTCGCGTTTTAAAGAGCATCTCGAGTAGAATTAGGGCATTCTCACAGACTTCCATCTCCTCTCAAAAGCACCGACGACATTTCTACTCTTCACAAACTTCAAGTTCATCAATTTCTTTCTCAAATTCCCCCTCCACAAATTCAACAGTTCTTACATACATCCCTCTCATCTCGAGAACCCTACGAGCGAATTTCACAGTGGGGACCCTACATCCACCACGACCGCAACTTCTTGACAGCGTCCGTTATCTTTTTCGGACATTCACACTGACGTCCGTCCTCTTCGTCTATGAACATCAACCAAGCGACCAATCCTCCAGCACCCCATCATTTTCAAGTTTTACACCACAGTTTTGAAGTGCATTCGAGCGCCAACTTCTGGTAATTCGAGGTTTTTTGTTTTTGTGAGGAATTTCTTAAATTGTGGGGGTTTGTTTGGTGAAGGCTTTCAATTGAAAGAAGCTTATAATTGGTTCACCATTTTTGATAAATTGAATTGAAGCTCTTGCTCACAAGGTGTTTGATAAATTGCCTCAAAGCCATGGTCAAAACTTTGGCACGTAATGTTAAAGCGAATACTACTCAAGGCGAGCCCGCTAATCGCAGGAAGCGAAGCCGAATCCTCGAGCCAAGGGGACCGTGATGCCCCTTAAGGAAGTGAACGGACGGATCTTCGGCAACAATATAGTGCTCCATTCCGATTTTCTCGAGGAAGGAGGGCGACATATATTCCCGCCTCTCGCAGAGGGAGGTGGTGGGGCCAAAGGCGATTGATTGGGACATTTTGAGAGACTTGGGAATCCTTGGTGATGTTAAAAAGTACATGAAGGTTCTAAACCTAACTGCCTTTGCCCAGATCGAAGAGCCATCGTATAGAAGTCTTATGCTTGAGTTCTTTAGCACGTTCGTGCCTGCAGATGGGAATGAGTATTTCACTTGTCGGCTGTGGGGGAAGACGTAAAGGTAGACAATGGTGTGATGAAGAAGGTCTTTAGGTTCAACATATACGGCAAGAGATGCAAACCAACAGATTTTAACACCAAGAAGAGTTGGGCCGAGATTTCACCTCATACATCTTGGGATTCACGCGGCATGTTGAACGGGCTCATTCAAGACCTAGCCATAGCCGTTATGCACAAGTTCAAGTGCTATAACATCTCTGGGAAACGAAAGGCGAACAAAGTTAGTGAATCCGAGCTCTATCTCTTATTGGCGCGTGCAGGAGTGAAGGTGTGTTCTATGACCTTTTTGCAAGACTCTCTACAAGAATTTGCACTTAATCAAAGTGAATTGCCGGCACTTGGGCATGTTGTTACCGCACTAACCAAACACTTCAGAATCCCTGTTGTAATCGTTAATATCGAACCGACGTGGTCGTTGGAAGGCACTCCAATGCGGTGCATTAATGAGCATGAACTCAAGCAGTCTGCTCAGGAGTACACGAAGCGTAAGGCCTACAAAGCCTATTTCAAGAAACTCACGGAGAGTTCGACGACTAACACTGATCAGGCAGGGTCATCCCGGCAATCATCGGACAAAGACAAACATGAGAAGATGAATGTGGATGACCACCATCTTCTTCCACCGCCACCTAATTGGGAACCAGCCCCGAACCCGCAACCCGAGGGTCCACCACAACAACCGCCAGAATGGTGGGCGACGTACCAAAGCCAATGACCTCATTCCAAACCTAGTATGCGGCCGACATTCGATCCATTCACACTTGGTTTGATGCTCAAGATAGTAGGTGGGCAAACTTGGAGAACCAATAGAACACTCAGTGGGCCAGTTGGGAGAACCAGCAGAAGACTCAGTGGGATCATTGGGTGAACCAACAGCAGTACCAGTGGACTCAAATGGGCTCACACTTCGACAGCTTCAATGTCAATTTCCAGTCTATTCGCGAGTGCCAGGATCAGCACGATGTACGTATGGACCGTTGGGATTAGAGGTTCACCCAGTGGGACACCCATTAGAGCTCAGGCTCCAGTAACCCCTACCCTCCACCACCTCCGTATGCACAGTGACTTGTCACTGTGCTTTGTACGTTTTTTTTTTCTTTCTCTTTGTTTTATATAGTTTGTTTGTTTCGAGTCGGTCAATTATGTGGTGTACCTTTCTTTCACTAAGGATCGACAATGGGGACATTGTCTGGTTTTAAGTGTGGGGGAGTTTTTGCATGCTTACGTGACTATGTGGTTGACCAGGTCTAGTTTTTCTTTTTAAGATTGCCTTTATTTCTTTTCTCTTGCTTGGTGGACTGGTCTAGTATTTAGGTTTTCTTGTGTTTTCCGAGTTTGGACATTGGTGTATCGTAAGACTAGTTGATAATTGTTGATTGAGTTGAGGAAGTGATGATGAGCATGAGTGACATATCTTGATTAATTGGCTTGGTCATCTTGAGGGACAACTATTTACCTTGTGAGGTTTGAGCCTATATCGTTTCTTGTGAGACATTGGTCGGAGTACTTGTCAGTTAGAATTTTTCTTGAGTCTACTTTGAAATGAATTGATTGGATTTGTGAACGTGAACATGATTGAGGCATTCCTTGTATTTTCTTTCCCTTTTTCTTTGTTCAAAAATAACAGTCACTAGTCACCCCCTTCGAGCCTTATTTGATTTTTATTGATAACCTCGTGATGATGACATTGAGTTGTGGGTTGAAGATTGGAGGTGCCGGTTGATTGAGTTGTGAATATTTTCATTATGTAAAAACAAAAAAAAAAGGGAAACCGAATGGATTATACTCCAAATGCTCCGTCCACTATTCTATTGGACGGGAGCAATGAGTACGAAAAACCGGTCTAGGAGACTCGGGCAGGAAACCCGAAGGTTATTCCTAGATAAAATGTCTAAAGGTTTTCACAAAAAAAAAAAAAGAAGAATAATAATATGGGTGGGAAGTGTGTTAGTTTTGGAGTTAGTGGGAGGAACCGGTTGGTGTTGACAACCAGAACAGTTCATGATCATGGTTACGTGATTGAGTTGATTTATTGGTTTGAGATTAGTCTTGCTTGAAACCGTGTCCTTGCTCGTTTGATTGTTTTCTTTTATTTTTGTTCGGGACGAACAAAGGTTTTAGCATGGGGGAGTTGTTTGTCCCATTTTTGTTTCGTTTTTTGCCATTATTTTACCTTTCTTTTTCCCCATTTTAGGGCCTTCTTTTGGTTTTTGGTTTGTTTTGTGTCTTGTCGTGTGTTTTCCTTTCTTTTGTCTTATTTAGGAGTTTTGTTTGTTTTTCTTGGTTTTCTACGTTTTTCTTGTCGTTTGTGGTGTGCAGGTTGGGTGGCTCGATCGGTTATAAATTTTAAGAAGAAATGGCCGAACAAAATCAATTAGCTAGAAGGATGAGTTGGGGTCGAACGGGAAAAGACAGAATTCAATTCTGAATCCGGACGCGTGTGTACGAGCCCGAGAACCGCAACGCCCAATTTCCTTCACCGCAGCCCACGAAGGTATCCCGCGGCCGCGGGGAGCTGTTCATTCACTATGACCAGGTTTCTTCACCACGGCCGCGGGACAGTTCTGCGGTCGAAAATTCGTTGCCTCGGGAGTAGTCGCAGCGGAGCGTTTCTTCTCCGCAGCCGCGGAGGTCGCGATTTTACAAATAAAATGGGACAGTTTCAGATGGCGAAAAAGGGGGAAAACTTTGAATCTGCTTTGGTTTTTAGGCTAGGCTTGGAAATAATAGATTCATTTTCTGAACGTTTCATTTTCTTTCATCTGAAAACACCTTTCTTCTTAGATTCAATTTTTTGAGATTGTGATACTCCAAAACGAACGTGATTCGACTTGTATTTTGATTTCATTTCTCGACTTGGATTATTCGTAAGTTCCTTTCATTTGATTATGGATGTGAATTATGGTTTTGAATCTATTGTTATGATTGATATCAATATGAGTGGCTAAATCATTTGGTTAGGTAAAGGAGATATTTGTTTTGGATCGATTGAGTTTAATGTGCTTGCTTGTCGTTCAATCTATTCGAGTTGTGCTTAATCTAGGGTTAGATGCTTGATCACCATCATAATCTAATTAATTAATTTATAGAACCGGAAGGGGAGAAATTGATCGATCTTGGCTTGTTTGGAATAGACTTGTTCTTTAATGTATTGTCTAGGTGTTAAGTGTTTCAATAATTCATTTGTTTATGTTTGTTCTCTTGTTACGAGATGTTATTGAGAATAAACTTCTAAACAAGTAGGTTATTTGATTCCTTTTTTCGAGCGACTGTGTGCTTATTGACTGCTTGAGAACCATACACGAATATCTCCGACTCCCTAACCCCCGCATCATTATTTGAACATTGCTGGAATTTGAAGCTTGTTTGCTATATTTCATAATTCTTAGTCATTAATTAAAAACCCAACTAGTTGAATAAGAGTGTTTAGGAATTTGTTTTCTCTTTCGTGTGATTGAATAATCGTGCAAATTAATCCGACTAACCTTCCTTGCAATACGACCCGGGGATTGAATCCTTTGATTTAACTCCGGTAAAAATAAGCACCACATGGATCAGGCTGACCTACTCGCTGTCTGCTACTGGATAAATGAGTCCCTTGGAATAGAGCTTCAACACCTCTTTCTTCACCACTTCCATCATGTTCGGGTTCAACCAACGTTGGCTATCCCGAAATGGTTTGGCGCCCTCCTCCAGAACAATCTGGTGCATGCACGTGGAAGGGCTGATGCCCTTTATGTCACCGAGGCTCCACCCAATGGCCATCTGATTCTTCTTAAGTACATCAATCAGCTCCTTCTCCTTGTCATGGTTACGCTAAAAAAAATGATGACCGGATTTTTCTTCTCGTCGTCAATGAACACATATTTGAAATGATGATCGGGTAGTTCCTTAAGCTCTAATGTGGGTGGAGTCGATGTGTGGGGCTCGTCGGCCACAAAGAGCTCGATGGTCGGCTCTTCTTCATCATCGAGATCAGGCATTGACCTCTCTTCCAAATCTTGTACAGTCAGTCATCTCACCAACGAACGGGTCTGTTATATCAGCAAAGGCGCACTCCTCACAAAGTTCACCAAGGATGCGGATGTAGCTTCTCGGACGGAGATAGATACGGACTCGCCCAAGACCGTCATATTTAAAGTCCTGTTCTTCACATCGATCAGGGTGTTGGTGGTGGCCATAAACTGTTTACCAAGAAGAATGGTATGGTCTTTACCGTTCTCTTGTATGTCCCGCACATCTAGGACGACAAAGTCCACCGGGACAATAAGTCTCCCTACAAGAACAAGAACATCTTCTACCACCCCCTGGGGGTATCGAATTGAACGCTCTGCAAGCTGGAGGCACATACGGGTTGGTCTCAAATCTTCGAGACCGGGCCGCTAAAAGATAGAGAACGACATGGGATTGATTCCGGCTCCGAGGTCAAGCATCCCCGAAGCCTCCTTTCCGTTCCCGAGAGCTATTTTAATCATAAAGCCTCCGGGATCACGTTCCTTCTTTGGCAAGTTGTGCTGCATAGCACTCGCCGCCTTGTAAACCACCACTTTCTCCTCATGTCTGAATTTCCTCTTCTTTGTCACCAAATCCTTGAAGAACTTCACGTACGATGGCATATTCTTGATCACATCTAGAAGTGGTAGGTTGACATTGACCTTCGAGAGCATGTTGTATAGGTCTCGAAATTGCTGCTCCTGCTTCTCGTCTCGAAGTCGGCTCGAAAAAGGTATGCGTGGCTTGTATGGGTTTGGGGACTTGTGTAACAATGAACCATCCATTGGCTTCCCCGAATTGACTTTTGGGCTCTTCTCGACATCCTCTTATGCTTCTTTGGGCTGGTCAGTCGGCTTAGGATCATCAGACTCGGGCAATTTCACGTGGTTGCCAACAACTTTCCCGCTTCTCAACACTGTATTTGCCTTAGCTTGCTCAAGCTGGTTCGGTAGCTTCGCTTTGTCTGACTCGGCCTCCATGTTCCCAACTCTTGTGGTGAGCTGGCCCACTTGCGTCTCCAGATGCTTGATGGATGAATCTTTGTTTGTGATAAACTGAAGGATCTTGTCCAACTTGTCGTCGTGGTTGGATGAACTAGGACCCGCTCCCTATGCTTGCATTCCACCCATTTGGCCCATCTGCGGCTGTTTTTGGTGCTGTTGGGGGATGAAGTTGGGACGGGGTTGCTGCTGCATGAAGTTCTATCAGGGCTGCTAGGCCTTGTTGTTGTTAGACCACGAGATGTTTGGGTGGTTTCTCCACCCCGGGATGTATGTGTTGGAGAAGGGATCATTGACTAGCAGGGTCTGAATATCCCTATAAGGCGTTGGCATCTGCAAATTGTTCACTGAAATCCTGATTGAATACCGAGCGGCACACCTCAGACCTGTGCGCTTGGACTCTACACACTCCACATGCTTCAACTGCCATCGTTTGCATTGGTTGGACTCCTCTCACGTTAAGTAACCTCATCTGCTCCGTGAGCTCGGCTATCTGATGGGCCATCATGTCTTATCTTGGGGATACTTCATTGACCACGGTCCTCTTTTCTCGACTGCTCTTTTGAGACGAGTTGGAATCATCGCCTCAAAGATGTCAATCATCTCCTCAGCTGTCTTTGCCCCGATATCTCCACCAGCCGCATTGTCCACCATGTATTGAAGATTCTGATGGAGAGAGTCATAAAAGCTATTCATCAATAAGGCAGGTGGGAAGTTGTGGTGTGGGAACTTTCTCTGGAGGTCCTCGCCTCATGAATTGGCTCGTTCGGTTGTTGGGCGAAGGAGACAGTCTGTGACTGGAGCTCCTGTGTCTTCTGATGGGAGTAGTATCTCACAATGAATTTCGAGTACACTTGCTCCCAAATAATGAGAGAGTCTGGAGCAAGTGTCATAAACCAAGCCCTGGCCCAATCTTTGAGCATTTTCGGAAAGCACCTCATTTTTAACTAGTCCTCATTGAGCCCGTGGAGTGGTAAGGTTTGGAGAACATTATATCACGTATGAAGTTCAGTGGGTCCTTGTTAGGAAGACCGTGAAATTAAAGGATGAAAGTTGGTTGTAGTGGATTGTCTTGAGCTCGTAATTCCGAGCTGCTGGTCCCAGTCAGATGCAGGAAGTCACCGGCCCGATCACCGGTTGAGCCAAATCACGAAGAAGATAACGAGGGGGATTATTCACCTCCTCTTGCTCGTTCAGTGCAATTTCTGCTTGGCTGTCTGAAGCAGACGATTCCGGAACAAGATTAGCCAACAAGTCTCGTAAATCCCTATGGATGGATTCGTCGTTAGGAATGATTACACAACCACTCCTGGTACACATAAACAAAAATAACAAAAATGTCACGGGCACCAAATTGACAAGAGAGAGTAAATGGCAAACAATCTAAAAGATCAACTAACTACTTGAAAACAAAAAGAAATAAAGAGAAACACAAAAACAAGAAATCACAGGAAATAAGAGAAACACGAAAAACAAAATGAATAGGCGCACAAAGTAAGTCTTAAACCTTCTCCGGAAACGGCGCCATTTTGTTGTAGTTATTTTTACCGGAGTTAAATCAAAGGATTCAATCCGCGGGTTGTATCGCAAGGAAGGTTAGCCGGATTAATTTTCGCGATTATTCAACCACACGAAAGAGAAAACAAATTCATAAACACTCTAATTCAACTGGTTGGATTCTTAATTAATGACTAAGAATTATGAAATATAGCAAACAAGCTTCAAACTCCAACAAAGTTCAAATAATGATGCGGGGGTTAGGGAGTCGGAGATATTCGTTTATGGTTCTCAAGCAGTCAATGAGCACACAGTTGCTCGGAAAAAGGAATCAAATAACCTACTTGCTTAGACGT